GCGCCCCGGCCGCCGACCTGGAGGAGGCGACGGCCCCACCCGCCCCGCCCGCGCGTCGCCATCTTCCCGCGGCCGCGCCTCCCGCCGCTGTAAACAGTGCCACGCGTACAGCGCCCGCCGCCGGCCCGCGCGCCCCCAGAGCCGTTTTGGACTTTTCCAGGCGGGAGAGAAGTTGTCAGTACGCTGCCGGCCACTGCTCGCTCGGCCTGGGGACCTGCGCCCTTCGCGCAGGCGGGTGGGGGGACGCCTCCCTCCTTTGCACGACTCAGAACTGGCCGGCCTCCTCTGCCCGGCACCTTCCCCCCGCCCTTCCCCACTCCCGCCCGGAGCCCAGGCAGAGACCCCTCCCGGGTACCCAGCGGTCCTGCGCAGCCTGCTGACTGCGAAACTCCGGGTCCAAGTGCAGGGCTGGCCTTGTTGGGGAGGGCTGCCGGGCACAGGTTCTACCGATAGTCCCGAGGCCCAGCCGTGGCCTTGTGCTTGCAGAGTGGAAGCCCCGAAACTAGGGTGCAGACGTGACTAGGGCTTCCTCAAGGTCTACCCTTCTGGCTCCGTGGACACCACAGCACACCTTACACTGTCTAGGGGCCAGCCTTGAAGGCCCAGCCATTCTTGGCGTGGTCAGGCTGGGAACTTCCTTGGCAGGCTGGGGGCTTCAAGGCCCCTTGGCAGAGGGTGCGGCTCATTCCTGTGGCCTGCTTGTTCTTGGGAAACAGAGAGGCTGGCACAGGGACCCATCTCTGTGGCGTCCTAGGCCTGGCAAAGATTTGGTTGAATTTCCAACTGTTCAAGTTCCAGCCCTGGTCTCCTGCTGGGGGCAGTTTGCAGAGGACATGAGTATGTTGGGAAACTCACAGCCTCAGGCTTCCACAGTGAGATGTCCTGTGCCCCTGACTGCCCTAAACTCCAGCATGAGATCTGGCACTCAGAAATGGTGGCTGAGGCACTCCAAATGCTCCCTCCATACACACTAGTAACTAATGTTGACCTAGCCTTGTAAAGGTGCTATTTTCCTCTCTATTTTGCAACCAAGAAAACCAAGGCATAGACAGATTCAGTTAATTGATTGGGGCCACTTACCTCTGCTCCCTCTTCCTGGGTGAGGTCCTGGCTTTCCACCCTCTTCTGGGATGGAGAGTTAGGGGCAAGGGGCTGGGGATGCCCTGGCTTGGGCACACCTCACCTGCAGCACCCTCCGGATAGAACATGATCACCCCAAGACCTAAAACAGCTTAGGGGTAGCAGGCAGAGTCCTTCCCTCGTCTGCCACCTCCCAAGAAGGCTGTCCTTAGCCAGTTCAGTTGGGAAACTTGGAGGCCCAGGTGTGGCAGAACAGCCTAGACCTGTAAGGCTTCTGTGTCCTGGCACACTGAAGGACAGGCCCAGGCATAGCTGGCCGGGGTGAGAGGTGGGCAGGACTGCACTGGGGTAGGGAGACAGCAGTCCTGTGTTTGTTATGGGCTTTGTATAGGTGTCTGGTGGCGGTGGCTTCAGGCTGCCAGGGTCAGGTTCTCTGAAAAGGTGAGCAGAAGAGTCTAGGTAGGGCCAGGACAGCAGGTGGCACAACCATGGCCAGCCTCATCCCACTGCTTCACAGGGGCGAGTGCTCCTGGAACCTCTGTGGCAAGCTTCCCCACAGGGTCCTTGGACTCAGAAAGAATTGCAAGGAAAGTCATCTGCCAGGCTGCTGAGGACTATCCCTCTGGCCCAGGGTTGGGAATGATCCCAGTGCCATCCTTTGGTGTGAGGGAACCTTCTCTACACTGATGGTGCCTGCTGACCCCAGCCTCCCACATGAACCAGCAGACTACAGACCATACAGCTAGGTTGGATTTTGGGCTGAGGGCCAGATCCCCAAAGGCCAGTGAGGAGCTTCTGCCATGCCTTTTCTGGCTCTGGTTGGCCTTTGCAGAAGTTTTGAGGCTCCTGGCCCAGCCCAAGAGACTAGCAGGTCCTCAAGGACCCTGGAAACTGCACAGGGAAGCCAAGGAGCCAGCAGGACCCGAGGGAAGGTGGGAAATCTAGTGCCCCAGCAGCTTCAGCAGGTGATGGGGCAGGCAGTGTGGGCAAGTTTTCTGCTGAGAGATGCTAGGTTCAAGTTCTGGGAGAGGTAGAGAGTGGACAGGTGGGCAGTGACCAGCAGAAGCCCAGTAAGGGGCTGGGGAGGGATCAGGACTTGGTCTGGTTGTGCTCTGAGGTAGCCTGAGCTTTTTGCTCATGTGTGCAGCATCCTGGGTGACTGAGAAATCCTTGCTGGCTTGTGATGTGCCTCCAGGCTGAGAGGGTGACTGGAAGCTCAACGGCAACGTTGCACGTGGCACTTCTGGTGCTCTGAACTCTGCTCTGATCTGAGTGGCTGGGCTAGTGGGGCCCAAGCAGCCCCATGGGGCTGTCACCCCCAGGGAAGATAAACTTGACACGTCCTGGCAGAATTCAGCCCTTGAGAGAAGTGGGAACACCCATCTTCTGTGACTCTCTGTGTGCCTGCTGACCCAGAAAGCGTCCATGTCTCATGAACCCCTTTGTGAGATGACTTGACTAGGACAGCTTTGTCCTAGGTCTTCCTATCTATATGAGAGAATGGCCTTGGGAGGACAGGATCATCTTGTCTCCTAAGGGCCTGACCTCTATGTTCCCTGCTCAGCCTGCCACCCCCTCCCCAAACCCATGTGGTCTGTGTTGGTTGTAAGGACACAGCTGGGTTCATGGAGAGGCGAGCAGAGAAGGCAGGTGACTAGATGCCTTGGCGGCACCAGCTACCCATTTCCAAGGACTGCCTACCCCCTCTGGAAGGGGCCCTGTGTGAGGTTACCCTAGCCTTTGCTTGGCAGCTGTACACCTGCCCCAGCTACATCCTGGGCCTAGACCCTCCTAGGCACCATGTAAGAGCTCCTGGCCCCCTTCAAAGAGCTGCTGTTGTTTGTGCTCTGTTTGTCGGGCCTCTGAGTGAGCCCTGTCTTTTTCTCTCTCTAAACAGGTCTTCACACAACGAACTAGAAAAGCACAGGTAAGTGACACCCCCATTCCCATATCAACTGTGTGACATGCCTGGCTCCTGCTGAGGGGGTGTTTTGGCTGGCCTCACACCTGTCTAGGGAGGGTCTGGGCTGCCAGGCTGTGCCCTAGGCTCTGGAACAGTCAGCTGGAGGGAGCCGGGGTCCAAACTCAGGCGTTTTGGGGCTGGCAGGCAAGGGCCCAAGCTCAGGCCCATTTTTTGGTACTTAGCCTGGGGCCAGAGCTGAGTGGGTGCCAGGGACTTGAAGTCTGAGTTGGGTCCCTGGAGGAGGACATGGAGCTCCTTTGGAAGCCATGCTTCAGCTCTTGGTATGATGACCCTGATGGAGGATTCAGCCTTGCCCCTTCCTCTGTGCCTTTTGGGGCATGTCTTCCAAGGAGCTGTGATGGAAACTTGTCTGAGGAACAGAGGAGGCAGCAGGCTCAGGCTGTGTCCCTTTGGTATGGCTGCTGGCCCATGAGGCTGCTTCAGCTAGTTCATCATGGGTATCTTTCCTTTGCCAGTGGGCACAAGGTGCAGGTGAGCCCTAGGAGTTGGGGGCAGGTGGAGTGGAGCAGTTCATGGCTGCCAGTTGTAGCCTAAGTGGAAGCAGAGGTATTTAGGTCAGGCAGCCCCACAGGTGGTAGCCCCCATGCTAGGACCAGGGAAAGCCTCTGAGAGACAACAGCTCTCCTGATCTCTGCTATCTATGGAATGGGCCAGTTCTATCCTGCCTTCTTGGGAAGAGGGTAACTCTGTATCCTAGATGAGCCCTCCTGGGTACACTGGGAAGGTCTGGAGCTCAGCCAGTTCTTTCTTTCCCCCTCCCCCATGTCTGCACCCACAGCAGCACCAACTTCCGCTCTCCCGGGATTCAGGACTCTGGTTGGGGCGGGTGGCTGGGCAGGGACAGAACACCGTGTTCCCTGAGGAGATACACTTCCTGCACTGGTCATGTGTGTTTGGGGGGTTCCCAAGGGGCCACGGGGATGGAAGCCAGTTTAAGACAGGCTTAGGGTGTCTCCTGGGCCTTGACCAGACCCAGGTATAGTAGCCTGGCCTAATGGGGAGGGCTTCCTGGAGATAGTGTTTGAGAGGACTGCTGGTAGTGAGGGCAAGTGGGGAATGCCTAAGAGGGAGGGTGGGTGCAATGGCAACCTCTAGGGAGGACCAGAGCTGGCTTCTAATCTCTGCAGCCATCTCTTGACCATGGCCTTGATCCTTGCCATCTCCCAGAAGGCTGTAGTTAGATTGGGCTTTATGGGGTCCTTTTAAGACAGAACAGGCTTGCTTGGGCAGCCCTGAGCAGCCCACAGCCTGGAGCCTGGGCCCTTGGAGGGATATCAGCCATGGCTGGGCCTGTGGCTAGATCAAGACTGATGCCAGGTGCTCCTGGCTGCCGAAGGAAGGGCTGTGTGCTGTCCTGAGGAAGGAAGGAAACACCTGGCTGGCTGCCCAGCAGGCCACAAGAGGCATGCTCTGGACACTGCCTTCAGTGGAAGTGTATCTCACTGAGGCTCAGGTGGGCCTGTGGGACTTTCCCTTGTTGGAGCTTTGAGCAATAACCAACCAACCCTAGGACAACCCCGTCCCATTCTTCTGCTCATCTACCCCTGTAGGTGAGCAGTTCTGGCGGATCTGCCAAGGTCAGCACTTGCTGATGACCCCAGGGCCTGGCAACCCTCCTGGTCCCAGCTCTAGGCTTTGACCTTAGCTAGTATTAGGGAGAGAACCCTACGTATTCTTCCTGGCCCTCCACACCCTTGGAATGTCATGGCACATTCCTAAGGTCAGGCCTAAGCCCTTAGTTGTGCCCTTGCCCCTAACCCAAACACAGAGATGGATGTTCAGGCCTGTCTTAGTACCCATGGCCTGCCCTTGCAGGGTTACTGGCAGGTGCTTGATGCAGCAGTGTGGAACCACACAAGGGGCATATATTTGTTAGAAACAGCTAGAAGATGCTGATAAATAGAAGAAAGTGGGGTCCCTTGCCCAGCACTACTGACGATCTGGTGGGTTTTCACTGTCTTTTCTCCAGCAATCTGGCCTAGAACCCACCTCTGCTAGCCAGTCATTCAGGACTCTGTTTCACAAGTACAGGTGTTTGGGGGCACCCTGTCAGGGAGCCAAGACCTCTGGGAGTTCTGTGGGCCTTCCCTTGAGGAGTAGGAGTTTGTGGTTCGAAGTGAGGTGGGGCTGTGCTATAGGTGGTGGGGGAGGGGGAATGGGTCTGCTGCTGATGCTAATGCAAGAAGCCCAGGGGCAGCTCTGCCTCCTGAATCTATGCAGAGCTCCTTTGCAAGTACTGAAGGCTTGAGGACAGCCTGGGCTCTGGCATTGGGCCTGGGGTGCTGCAGTGGCTTTAGGGAGAAGGGTTTGGTGAGAGCCTAGTACATACTAGGCTTTGGGGCTGTGGCACTCAGAGGGGTGAGGATCTTGCCAGCATCCCCTCACCAACCATAGGCTTAGCCCCAGGCAACTGGTCACAGCTGCTGCCCAGGGCAGGGAGCCAGGGTGACCTATATAGCCTGCAGTGTGGGGTGGGCACTCTCATGGGTTTGAGTGGACATATTACTGAGTTTTACATTGCCTGTGTAGGGTCAGGTGATTTTTATTTCTCCCTTGAGAACCATCTTTTTCTAAAACATTATTCATGTACTTCCTGCACCCTACCCAGAGACCACATCCTGGTCACTTGGAGGACCCTGAGGTAGGAGGGGCCCTTGTTACCCACTATCCCTACTTGGATCCTTCACCTAGCACCATGTAAGTGCTGCCCCCCGGCCCCGTGTCCATGTACCCCTGGCCTCCTTGGCCCCCAAAGCTGTGGAGGACCACAGCTGTGCTTCCCAGGCTAGCTCTGACATGAGCACAGTTGAGCTGAGTCTTTGCATTCCTGGGGAGTGGTCTTGTAGCACCCCATTTCTAGAAGTAGAAACACTGGTCAGTAGTCTGAGCTGAAGTCGCTGGCCCTTCTCCCACAGGAACCATGACAGGTCCCCATGTGCTGGCCACGTGCGCCTCAGCCAGACCTTTGTATGCCAACTGGTGCAAAGGAGAATAAGTGTCTGCTTGTTTGAGTTTTCACGTCCCTGATTACTCATGAGATGGAGTCCGTTTTCTGTTAGATTTTGCCCTTCGTTTCCTGCAACTTGCCTGTTTGTTCTCTGCTCTCTGTTAAATCGAGGCAATATTCTTTATTTTTGATGTGTATGTACTCCAAATATCACAAATACTAACCGTTTTGTCTTTTATGTGTACTGCAAATTCCTTTCTACCGTGACTTGTCTTTTAGCTGTGTTTCTTTCTTGTACAAATGTCTTTCCCTGATTGTAAAAGTAATATGTGGGGATTTTTAGCATAGAAAACCTGGAAAATACAGAAGATCGCAAAGCTAAAGAAATAAACGTTGCCAGCCGTCCCCTGGAGAGGCTTCCTGTGCTTCATTGTGTTCCGTTGAGTCTCTTGTGTGCGTCTGCTGTTGTACATTTTAAGCAAAATTGGGTCACTTGTCACATACGTGGTTCTGAACCTTAATTTTTTTCACTTAACACTCATGTAGCAAGGTAGATGCACTAAAATGATCATGTGGCCATCTCTAGGGCAGGGAACTTGGGTGCTTTTAATTCTTCTTGTCAGTTTGCACTTTCTGATTTTTTTTCCACAAAGGTCAGTGCTGTTAACATAATTAAGTGATGGGTTGTAGGAATTGCCACTTGCTGTATAACAAGTGGACCAGGTGAGAGGGGTCCCCAGCAGCACCACCTTTTGCCAACCTCCTTATCCCAGTGGTGGGTTCAGGACATTGGGAACCCAGCTCAGGAGAACCCCTGCTCCATTCCTTAGCCTGGTTCTTTGTCTCCAGTCCCACCAGTAACTGCATTTGGGTGGCTTATCCTGTTGGAGGAGAGGGGGCTGAGGTTTGGGCACTCTGGAAAGGAAGACATGCTTGCACTTGCCTGGGGCCAGGAGCCCACTTGTGTGTGTGGTGAGGTTGAAGATCTCCGGCCTCGAGTCTAAGACTTACACAGCCTTCCTGGACACCCTCCCTCTAGACCAAGCCCAGCCTCAGCCCTGTGTCTTATGAAGTTCTTCCAAAGGTCTAATTTCACTTTACCCAGAAGGACCCTCTAGGCCTCAAGGTGCTGGGTCAGGATGGTAGGTGAGAAAGTGCTTTGTCAGTGAAGGGTACTGTTTGACAGGCATACTGACTACGGATGGCACCCCCCACCCTCCTGTATGTGGCTGTTAAAGCCTCTGCAGCTTCTCCCTGCACCCAGGACCCCCTTATCTGTCCTAGAGATGGCTGTCCTTGCCCATTATCCTCCAGAGTCTCTTTAGGACTGAATGAGTATGGGTTTGCTGGGGCTGTGACTAGGGAACAGATATGAAAGGTGGACTTTGGGCACTGCCATTCTTAATATATATGGGCACTGGCCATGGCGGACCAGCTGGGCAACAGGTATTCAAAAAAATCCTCAAAAAAATTCCTGCCCTTTGACCTGGCAGTTGTACTGCTAAGAATTTGTCCTAAGTAAGCCATATTGACTCGGAAACCACCTTGACTGCCTATAGGGTCTGGGTATCTCTATAACAAGGCATCACTTGGACAGAACACACTGGTGCCCTGCAGCTGCTGGTCAGGTGGTGTGTGCAAAGAGTGGCTCCTACTATGACAGTAATGTCAGAGACAGCCTTGGGCAGTGACTTATTTAGTTGCCCCTCCCAGACCAGCCCACCAGCCAGGAAAGCATTATGACATATGAACAGTTCAGCAGAAAAAAAAAATGGATTAATACAAATGGATATAGAGACAAAAATCTGGAATGAAACACTTTCAAATGGAGCAGCAAAATTGGCAGAGGGAGCTGGTCCTCAGCCCTTCCTTGATCCCATCAGCTCAGGTTGTGTGAGGACAGGAGCAATTAGAGCCCACTGCACAGGGCAGAATGGACAACATAGATATTCTGTTCCCAGTCCCTGAACCCTGGGGCTCTTAGGGCCTGTGGAGCCTTGTGCACACCATGTCCAGAGGGCTGCCTATGCCAGGCTGCTCCTGAGGGGGAGGTATTAATCAGGCCAGGAGGGAATTCTCCAGCCTTGAGACAGAATCTGGGGCAACTACCAAGTCAAGGGACAGGTCTACAGTTGTGCTGGGGCCTGATTGGCTACCTCCCACCTTTTGCCGAGCCTGGGCCAGCCCCTCCTGCCTTCATCCCACAGGCTTTGATGCTCAGCCTGATGGTCTGTCTCTGGCTCTTTCAGACGAGCTAAACTCAGGCTCTACCTGGAGCAGCTCAAGCAGCTGGTGCCCTTGGGCCCTGACAGCACACGCCACACCACTCTGAGCCTCCTGAAGCGTGCCAAGATGCACATCAAGGTGAGCAGGCTGTGCCCTCTACCCTCCAGCCACCTTGGTTGCCCCTAGCCACCCTGTGTGTCCTGGGGGAGTACACAGTGGGGGCCCTGGGCAGTCTTTGGACCAGAGGACCTGGAGGTAGGAGGATATCCACCTAGCAGGTTAAAGTCAGGAGCTTGTGGGGAGATCAATAGGGGATGATTGGTAGCGTAAAGGAGGTTACATAGATTGTGTTGGGCTTTGCTGAGTGGTGATTGGCAGGGAATCATTGTAGTGTGCTGGGTAAGCCAGGCTCAGGGGTAGCAGCTCGAAGAGGAGGTGGGGCCAGGAGAGGGACAAGGGGTCACTGCATACATTCATGAACAGGCTAACTGGAAGTAGGCAGCCTTTAAGGGGCTAGGGAAAAGTGGGGACTGTTCTTGGGGGTTGGTATGGGCCTAGGCTCAGGGAAATACTGCCTTCAGACTGAAATTTCCTGATTTAGGGTTCTTGGGACATTTGGGTCAACCAGGGTAGGTCTCTGTCCCCCTCAAAGGGCCTCCTCTGCTTCAAAAGTGAGGACTCTCAAGTGGGGTGGCAGGATCTTTGAAAGAGACACATCTGGGGCCCGGGAGGGGGTTCCTCATAGAAGGGCCGTGTCTCAGATGGGCCCACAAGAAGGTTTAAGAAGGTGGGAGGACAAGACACAGATGCTGCAGGTACAGGCATGATGGTCCAACCTGGGGATAGGTGGAGCCCTTGTGAGCAGGGCTGTCCTGGGGGGGGGAAGGCAGTGCCAGCCAAAGGTTGGATGGCACTGTCCCAGGCCTTCAGGCCCCCATGTGACTCTGCTTACTGTGGGCATTCTAGAACTGGTCAGCAGGTTTCAAGCACAAATCCAGGCTGACTGAGTGGCAACATGCTGCGGTAGGAGGGGCACATCAAGCCTCGTGCTAGGCATCTTGTGGCTTCTGTCTGGCCAGGCCATGTTGGGGGTCCTGCTGAAGCTTCTGTGCCCATGCCCAAGAGAGGTTTTTCCCTCTTTGCTATGGGCTCAGACCACCCACTCTCCTCAGAAACTGGAGGAGCAGGACCGCCGGGCACTGAGCATCAAGGAGCAGCTGCAGCGAGAGCACCGCTTCCTGAAGCGACGCCTGGAGCAGCTATCAGTGCAGAGTGTAGAGCGCGTGCGCACTGACAGCACTGGTTCTGCTGTCTCCACAGATGACTCAGAGCAAGGTGGGGGCTGGACAAGCAAGGTGGGGGCTGGTGCTGCCTAAGCCTAGCCTCTTGGGCACAGGCATTACCATAGCTCCTGGGGGGAGGAGGAATCACCCGGGGTGGGGATGATGCCAGGGTGACAAGGCCCCTATACCACCTGAGTTAACTGCTTGCAATGGCACAGTAATTTCTCAGCCTTGCATGAAAAGGGATGAGACCGTGAAGTCCAGAGGCCATGACCTGGCTCTGTAAGGGCAGAGGCTGCTTGGCCCCGGGCAGTGTGCTTCAGAGGCTGGGTTCTTAAGCTACAGATTGGATCCATCCTAGCATCTGCCACCTCAGGGCCCAGAGGGGGTGTCCCTCAGCTTCCCTAACCCCAGCCTTCACTTTCATTAAAAAAAAAAAAAAAGGTATGGGCCCTAACTGGGGAGCCTCAGGCTGGCTTCCTCAGTAGGGGGCACCCTGACCCATCCTCTCTCTATTCTCTCAGAGGTGGACATAGAGGGCATGGAATTTGGCCCTGGGGAGCTGGACAGTGTTGGTAGCAGCAGTGATGCCGATGACCACTACATCCTGCAGAGCAATGGCTGCAGTGACAGCAGCTACAGTCGCCCCTGCCGGCGGCCCGGCCGCCCTGGCCTCTCATAGGCTCCATGTCTTCTGCTTCTTGGCCTGCCTGCCTGCCCGCCCAGCCAAGCGTCTCAGCCTTCCAGTCCTCCTCTGACTGAAGCCAGCCTCTCCATGGGCCCACTTGCTGTGCCATTCTTGAAGCTCCAGCTGATGCCTGGGCTGCCTGCCCCTGCCTGCCTACCCTTCGGTTGGGGCTCAAGCTGCCCGCCCCCTCCCGGATGGGCAAGATCCCCTGCAGGGAGGCAGGGCCAGGCTCTCACATCCTGGAGCCCAGCGTAGTCACCCATGGTCTGTTCTCAGATTCCTAATCATTCCAGAAGTATTAAATATCATTGCTGCAAACCTCGGCAGGATCCGTGTAGGGGCCTTAATGACCACTTCGGGGAGCATGGACCCCAACATCGGATCCCAGGAGAGACGAGTGGACTGAGGAAGTAAGGAAGGTGCGACTGTCTGTCCATCCATCCATCTATCTGTTGGTCCACACAGGCTCCTGAGGTGTGGACAGGGGGATCCATAAAGGGCAGGACTTGGGTGAGCAGCTGGGACTTGTTGGTGGCCCCCTCTTCCATGTTGTCAGGAGCCAGAGTGGGGCTCCCCTTCCACAGTGTGCAAGCTCCTGGGGGCTGGCTGGGCCACCCCATACCAAGCTGGGTGACTTCTGCTCTTTTGGGACCATCAGATGCATACATACATGCCTAGGCTCCCACCCTCAAGCACATACACAGACATGTGGACATCAGCGAGTGTATGTCCTGAGATAGTTGGCCTGGGGTCACCTGCAAAGGCTGGCCTTGGCCTGTGCCTGATTATGGCCCAAGCTCCTGTTCACCTGTACCAGCCCAGATAGCTCTGCCTGGTTTGCACAGGATGTAGGTCTTTTCTTCCTGGCAGGGATTGGGATTAGCTGGGTGGCAAGCTGGAACCACTGGGTCCTCTGGGCTTTCTCATCTCCCTTTC